AAGCGATACATGAATGTAAATGTAAAAGAATTTGGAAAAGATATAAAGTTACAACTTGATTGTAAAACTCGATGGTCGAGCCTAGTAGACATGATTTCTACATTTAATAGAATCAAGCTGTGTGTCAGCAAAGCTTTGATCGACCTGGGCCTGGAAGCTGATCCGAACTACTCTTTGAGTGCGGAAGAACATGCGGTTTTAGTGAAGTTAGACAAGGTATTTGAACCTGTAAAAATGGCTATGGAGGTGTTATGTCGTCGAGATACTGACTTGGCTATCGCAGAAACAACACTTAGGTTTATGATTCGTAAACTTGAAGAGCTAAAAACTCCATTGGCAGAAAATAGCTGGTTCCTTGAGAAAACGCATTGTTGAGCGTCGAACGAATTTGACAGCATGCTTGTTATATATTAGAGATCCAGCTAAATACCAAGCAAATAAAGAAGAGTTTGCGAAAGACGAAACCTTTAAATTGCCTCCGAAAAATGTGGTTCGAACTGAAATTAAATAACTTATAGAGCATTTGCATTCGCAACACAGTCTGACCAATGCACAGACACAGACAAATTCAGATCCATCTTGGTCGATTGCATCAACATCAGCTGCCACCGCTAATGATAATGCTGAATTTTATGATCACGATAATAAACCACTTTCATCTCTTTCTGAGAAACGCAAGAGTATTTCATTGCAAGAAGAACTTCAGGAAACATTGACTGCTGCGTTCAAAGAACCTAGAGAGAGTCCGGAGGGTCAAAAGGCGAACTTTTACAGTTCGCGGATGACTGCCTGAGATCTGTGGTTCCAACTAGCGGTTGAATCCGAAAGGGCCTTCTCAGCGGCTATCTAGCCAGCAAAATAAGAAGCAGTTTAGCAGACGATTCTTTGGACATTTTGTGTTTCTTAAGAAGCTACTTTCAAAATAATTCGTAATAATGGCGTGTAATGTGAATTGAACAAGCCTTTTATTATTTGATTGGTATATTTTGTTAATTAATCTCTAATTTCTAATAGATCTCTGAGTAGGTAAAATTTTCTTTAATTGATAATAATATCTCAGTTTAAAAGTCAACTCAACTTAGTTAATGAGTTTCATTTTAGTTTTTGACTTCTTGTTGTTTTGTTATAAAAGAACTGTTTTATTATTAAAAGACTTTTGTTTGATATTAGAAGAGAAGACTGGTTGTTTATTTCATTTCCTATTTGATTAGATACGTCAAAGTTTATTAAAAAAAAATTCGTAAAAATAAATGTTTATTTCATAATAACAATAATTCTTATTATTTTTTTCCTAATTTATTCAAATATTGTGATTAAATGCAAGAATAAACAGTGTTTATTAAACACACAAAACTACAAATCTCGCAAGATCTAGAAATCGACGAGATCTCGCGGTATTGTTATTCATAAACTCGCGAGATCTCGCCTGAGCGAGATTGCATAATGTCAATAATTAATTTCTAAAATTCATTGATTAAAATACTCTTGACAATATCAGTTTACTTTAAAACTAAATGTAACTATTTAAATGTAATACCTAATTAATTTCTGAAATTCATTAATTAAAAAACTCTTGTCAAATTTCAGTTTACTAAATATAACTATTTTTATTTCCTAAATAATAATTTATAAAAAAATGTATTTTTTTGTCAAATCTTATAATGTTAAAAAACATTTCCAGTTTCTTTAAAACTTAAAAAAAAACTTTGTTTACTTCTTCCATGCCTGTTGGACAGAATTACTATTTTGGGTAATTTAAATTAACGGCGGCAGATAAATCAAATATGGCGGTAGCCGTATGTGCGCATAACAGTACCGATTTTCGTTCGTATTTTAAGGAGATTGAACAGACCTTGTTGTGTCAATTGTGGTTAAAACCAAGTATTTATGATAATGAGCTATATAATAATAGTTATTAAGTTTATAGATGTGATCGCAAAGAGACCAGAGGTGGAGGTGTGTTAATTGCGGTACACAATAACTACAATTTGCAAGATATTTATATAGACTTTCCTTTACAAAATATTGATATTGTTGGTGTAAAATTGAAATATTAATCTATACACAATTTACATACCACCACTGTCCACGAACATTCAATTATATATCATTGCTTGGAGAGTATTTTGTATTTTGATGCCCATAATCTACTGACTGGAGACTTTAACATACCGGAACTTAATGATTATTATCAAAATAAAAACTCAACGACATTCACCAACCAGATACAATATTTTCTAGACTTCTGCCACTTGAAACAACAAAATTTTATTCCAAATATAAATAATAGAATCCTAGACCTAATAATATCTTCTTCAAAATTAAAATGCAGCTCTGAACGATCGCTTGAACCTCTAGTAGATGAAAATTTTCATCATCCATCTATGGAATTTAATATTAAAATTAATACACTTGAAACAAACAAAATTCGTACAGCAAGAAATACAAAAATATGACTTTAAAAGAGCAAACTTGACAGTGCTATATGATGCTATTGGTAACATGGATTGGTCAGAGTTATATTTGACGAAAGATGTTGAAAATGCATGCCACACCTTGTATCAAAAAATTTATTAAGAGTTCGACCAGTATGATCATAAAAAAATAGATGTAACAAACGAAATTATCCACCGTGGTTTAGTAGCACAATTATTAAACAGATAAAACTTAAAATACAATATTATAATTTATTAAAAAGACTAAACGATTATTTTATAGAGATAAATTTTCCGAACTTAGAAGGTTAATAAAAAGTAACATAAGGGATGCCTACCAACAATTTATTGTTCAAACTGAAAATAATATAAAGTCTAACCCAAAACAGTTATGGGGCTTCGTTAATAATAAAAATAAATCTAGCAGAATTCCTGGTGAAATGACGATAGACGGGAGATCATGCCCAACGCCTAATCAAATTGTCAACGCTTTGTCTGCGTGAAATAAGTCAGCTAGATATATTTAGTGCGGTAAAAAATATATCTTTAAACTTCACCTCAGGACCTGACTGTGTTCCAGCTTTTTTTGTTAAGAACTGTGTTAATTTTTTATCTTTACCATTAAAGTATATTTTTAATTTAATCCTGGCAAATAACACGATTTCTGCACAATGGAAAATTTCCATCCGATTTTTAAATCGGGTGACAAATGTTGCATAAGAAATTACCGTCCCATAGCTATCATATGTAATTTTGCCAAGATATTTGAACGTATACTGACTAAATATATAAATTTTCATATTTCTCCTCTAATTTGCTTATCTCAGCAGGCTTTGTTAAAGGTCGCTCCACGGTCACAAACCTATGTAATTTTACTGAATTTACATCATACTCTTTAAATCAGAATATGCAAGTTGATACAGTACATACCAATTTTACTAAAGCTTTTGATAAAATTCAGCATAATATTCTTTTGCATAAACTACTTAACTTCGGTTTTGGTGAAAACGTGATTAATTTATTTAAATCATATTTGCACCAAAGATTTCAATATGTCGAATACATGAACTGTAAATCGGAGGTATATTGTGCAACGAATGGAGTTACCCAAGGGAGCAATCTTGGACCTTTATTGTTCCTGATCTTTGTTAATGATATATCATATGTTATATATAACAAATGAGATTGGCTCATCAAATTTACTATATGCTGATGATTTTAAAATATTTAGAGCTATTACATAATGACTGCCTGTGCCTTCAGAATGACTTTAATAAGCTGTATAACTGGTGTGACAGAAATCAATTATATTTGAACATTGAAAAATGGGGATGGCGCAGTGGGTTAAAGCTACAGAGCTGTAATCAATCTGCGCCACGGTACCGGGTTCGATTCCCGGTCACAGCCTTGGGTGTTGTGCTTGTTTTTCGAAGCATAAAAATATAAAATAATGAGCTGGCTAAATAGTCTAAAAATATTAAAAGTCAATAAACCTAAAAAAAAAAAAAAAAAAACATTGAAAAATGTTACGTTATGAGGTTTTCTAAAAAAATTAATAATATTGTTTTTAATTATAAAATAACTAATGAAACCTCAAGAAATGTTAAAACAATTAAAGACTTGGGCGTTACTTTTGACAAATCTTTATCATTCGGTCCTCATTTAAATCTTGTAATAAAAGAAGCTAACAAAATGTTAGGATTTGTGGTACGTAACACCAAAGAATTTAAAACGCTTATATTCGTAGTAAATTTGAATACGCCTGCGTCATTTGGTCACCATTTTATGACATTCATATTGATAATATTGAAAAAACTCAAAGAAAGTTTTGTAGATATCTCTGTTACCTAGTCTATGGACATTACCCCGTTTTTAATTTTGATTATGTTGGTGCTTTAATGTTCTCTGACATGGCAAGTTTTGAGATACGTAGAAGAAATGCTCGCTTGATTTATCTATATAAAATAGTCCACGGTATAATTTTTGACCCCGATATTCTCTTAAAAATAAAATTTCATATTCCAAAACTAAATTCTAGGTATCACCAAGCTTTCTATGTAGAAGCTGTAAATACCAATGAACGAAAGAATTCTCCTTTAAATTCAATGTGACGGAGTTACAATCCGATTGAAGAGAATTGTTATATTTGTAATTTAACTTTAAATCAATATATTAGAAGAATAAGAGCCTTACCTTAAAAGTACCCTGTTTGTTTTTACACTGTATTTATTAGGTTGTAATTATTTATATCCTTTGTATGGACGTTTGTCTGTTGGGTTAATAAACGATTATTATTATTATTATATGCCATATTATTTATTGCATATAATACAACTTTTGTATTTTTTTGCCCGCCTTAGATAAAAAGCTCTATTAGATTTTAAATTTGTTTTTGTAATGTTATTAATCAACTAGCATTTTAAAGACGGTTATTTTAAAAACATGAGAAAATTTAGCGAAATGCCGTAGATACTACTTACTATCTTCAATAAAATATGTTTAATACGCTTGAGCTGTGACTTCAATTTTTAACATGGTAACTATAACATTAACGATATATTTTAGGTCAGCATTTGGATCAAATATGTATACATATTTAAAATTTGGCTTACCAAGAGTATTTCCACCAAATGAATTAAATAACTCTGGAACTGGAACACAAGATATTTCAAGAAATACGTATAAAATATCGATTGCGAGGTGAGTTAAATTTTATTTTAATTATTAATGTAGCAGGTCCTTTTGTATAAGGTATTAAATATTTGCTTCGAATATAATGCGTATTAAATAGAATAGTAGAAGCAAAAGTAAAACAACTATGTAGGTATTAACAAATGATTCTATAGATTTTTTATTCTTACCTGTGTTGTATTTTAATCGGCAGTTGATATTTAAACTGCACCTTCTACTGTATAAAGTGGGTCTATAGAACATATTTGACTAATAGGCAAGTAAAATACTTTTATACCGGTTAAAATTTTGTTTTTTTTTATCAAAAGAATAAATCCAATAGTATATATTCTGGTTTTCGGATTGATCCGAACAACCACCGCGTCTCCATGGCCTGCCGTCTTAAAAAAAACTTTTTATTTGAATAACTTGCGAACCGTTTATAGCACAGAGGCCAAGAGCCTCTAGAGACTTTTAAAATACGGAAGCTCTGAGCTCAATATCACGCAAAAAATTACAAAGTTTGAATACCTATTAAATTGTTCTTTTAATAGACATATTTTTAAATAACTTTCAATTGTTACCAATAAATTAAAGGTCGAAAAGGGTTAAGATGTTATTTTTAAAGAAACGTTGAAATGTTGTAAATTATCCAGCCTATACTGGACCAATTTACTTAAAGTAAATGGTCAGTTTATAGGACATTTTAAAAGCTACAAAATTTCAAGAGCAAATTTTTGCCAAACAAATAGCGCAAAAGTGTTTAAAAAGGAAAAAAACATTTTCCAAAAAATTGCTTGGCCAGTCTCAAACCAAACGGGGAAGTGAGTTGATGTGTTGCGCTCTTAGTTCCTATCCAAAATAAAATTCTTAAGGAAACATAAATATTATATACAGTGTAGTCGAGTAAAGTGCGGTGCGAAACAGTGCTACTATTTTGGGTTACTACATACCTGTACAGGTGAAATCACCTGTACTCCAAAGGGTTAATAGAAACATTAAATAATTCCTCAATCTCTCAATGGTGAACGCAGGGGTGAGGGCCGTGCGGACACGAAAGTAATAAAGTGACAGGTCAAGAAATCACATATTTAAAGAAAAAACGAGTCTAACCAAGAGTGAAAGGGATCATCACCTGCAGATTTTGATAAGTATTTTTGCATGACCTAATAGGCAAATATTAACAAAAACCTGGCAACAATTAATCATTACCGAAAACAGCGTAGGAGTGTAAAAAAACAAATAAAGTAAGAACGTCACAATATTATATTATTGTATTATATATATTATATAATATACGCATAAACTTACAGCCCAGCCACAAATCAAAGCTTTAAAAGATACCGAAAGTAAATAAACATTCTCCTAATAAACAAAACGATCACCTAAAAATCTAACGTAAATAAATCATCTATTAAAGCATACGTTACACGCCTGCCATTAGGGCCGTATTTCAAATTTTTTAGGTTGGCTTTATCTATTTTGTATATTAATATTTATATTTTTAAATAAATTCTAAAAAATATAGATGTAAATAGATATAAATTAAATAATACAAATTAAATAATAATAAACGGTATAAACACTAATTTAACAATAAAATAAATAAAGAATATACAAGGTCGATAGTCAGTACTCGGCATGAGGGGTTGAATATTCACGAAGGCAGAGGACACTTACGGCGGGTCGTGGCCATCAACACTTCGGTACTAAAGACAAGATTCAGTACCTCACAGGGGAGCAAACAATTCTAAAGAGGTTACCAGGAACCGGAAACAGACTGGGACAGAGACGTTTAGAAGTTCACCAACAAGGACAGGTTCTAGCAGCGTACTAACACCCCGACCCCCATTCATGAATCCCAATTGAATGGGGTTATTACTAAGACCCAGGTTGAGGAGGATTCCGGATTGTACGTACGTTGTAAGTTTTGGGTCAGTTCAATGTCCTCCAAAAACCACCACTAGCCCTCCTTATCCCTCACTCCTCTAGCCTAAATTGGACGTATGGTCCGACCCGGCGGACAAAAATCCGGGAGCGGCCTTAACCATAGACACTGTCATCCACGACCTCCTAGGGTGGATCTAACAGCCGGCGTAAAAACTTCGGATCCAACAAACACAGGTAATGCTGTGAATTGGCGGGATACGTAGGAGAACGGAAAGGGGGTAAAATAACCCTGGATGATTAGTGTAAGATAATGTCGATGGGGCCTGCAATACGTTACCATACTCATCCTCATTTTCCAAAAAATTGCTTTAAAATATATTTAAGCAACAGTGCATCGGAGAGCTAAATAGGTTTCATGAAAATGTGCTTTAAATTATCAGTATTTTAAAAGTCTGTTTGCCACTGCGCGACAAACGGTTCTCAAGTATAAAAAAATAGGTGTTTTTATTTGAGTTGTCGAGGTATAGCGTCGCGGGGGTTGTTCGGATCAACCCGAAAACCAGACTACATACTAAACAGATATTTGAAATAGTCCCAAACAAAACACAAAGTGCTTTGGTCTTGCACTTTGTGTTTTGTTTTGGTGTTGGGGAATATTTTGAATATTTGTTTAACATATCACCAAATTGTCATTTTTCAAGTAATAGTAGAGGATCCCAAGTAAGGTCGACCTTCACCCATCTGCTTACCAGATGAAAATTATATTTTATCAAATAAAATATGTTTCTGAACATAAACCAATAGGGTTGCCATAAAAAATATGATCAAGGCTATCTATAATAAATAAAAAATTAAAAAAAAAAATTAATTTTTTAAATTTCACCGACTTGCTTGCCAAATGAACGAAATTCCAATGGAAAGCATACAACATACAGAATATGTAACAGCTAGGTTGCCTACCTTTTTCTGGTCCCTATTACCTGGTTGCTTTGTACAGGGTGATCCCCTATAATGTCGCCCCCCTTTAACTTTTTTATTTTAAGTGTCCCAAAAAATTTAAAAGTTTGGTTATGTAGGTACTAAAAAATACTTTTTTTCTACGTATAAAGAAAATTGGAAAATTGATCAGTATACAGGGAAAAACAAAAAGTTTATTTTTTTTCAATGGATCACCGTATATATGAATTTATTTTTCGATTCCTTGTAAAATTCTGAGCATAATTTATATAACAAACCATATACCTAAATTCAACCGTTTCTGAAATATTCGCATTCGAAATGTCATCATTAAATGTTTTTTTAAACTGTTAGAAATCAAGAAGCCTCAGTATACCAAAATTTTTATTGAAAATAAATTACTATAGTGACATTATGTCAATAAGTGTTGTTAAATAAGTAAAAATGGCGTACTCAGACAGAGAAAAACAAACTATTTCAACTTATTATCTTAAAAATAATTTAAATATTTCAGAAACGGTTGAATTTAGGTATATGGTATGATATATGAAATATGCTTAGAATTTTACAAGGAATCGAAAAATAAATTCATATATAGGGTGATCCTTTGAAAAAAATAAACTTTTTGTTTTCCCTGTATACTTATCAATTTTCCAATTTTCTTTATACGTAGAAAAAAAGTATTTTTTAGTTCCTACATAACCACACTTTTAAATTTTTTGGGACACTTAAAAAAAGTTAAAGGGGGGCGACATTATAGGGGATCACCCTGTACAAAGCAACCAGGTAATAGGGACCAGAAAAAGGTAGGCAACCTAGCTGTTACATATTCTGTATGTTGTATGCTTTCCATTGGAATTTCGTTCATTTGGCAAGCAAGTCGGTGAAATTTAAAAAAATAATTATTTTTTTTAAATTTTTTAATTATTATAGCTAGCCTTGATCATATTTTTTATGGCAACCCTATTGGTTTATGTTCAGAAACATATTTTATTTGATAAAATATAATTTTCATCTGGTAAGCAGATGGGTGAAGGTCGACCTTAATTGGGATCTTAGACTATAATAGAATAACATACTATTCATTTAAGATTTTTTGATAAAAAAAATCCAACCGCTATAAAAGCATCGGCTTTTGTATATAAAATCCTTTACTGGCCTATAAATCCATAATTAATTCTGGAAACTGCATTAAAAATAACAGCTGTTGCTAACATTATTTATAATACTAAAGCCCGCTGCATAACAGCCCGGTAACGAGAACGGGAACGGGAACCTAAGCGGTAAAGGTGGGAGGGACTTAGCGAACATTATCTATCAACAGTGTTTTTTTAGTCTCTCCCACCTTTAATGTTAAGATTCCCGTTCCCGTTACCGGGCTATTGTGCAGCGGGCTTAAATGATGCCAAAAAACAAATTCCAATCAAGTAGCGATATTTTTTATTCAATTCATACTGAATATCGATACAATTTGCAATACATGAAGATCCGGATTCTTAAATAAATCTGATTTTTCTACTATTGTATAATTTTTATGAAAATCAGCTAATGTTAACGTTAAACGATAATTTTTTTATTCGCAATATTACAGGAATAATCCAAAATAATTTGTTTTAAGGGGGTTTCCACTTCCATGTTCAATAAAAAATATTCTGGCAAATTTTGACTTATTAATATTAGTGGATTTATTGCACAAAAATTGGTGTTAAGGTAACTAATGTTAGGAAAATTAACCCAGTCATGCAGACAAAATTTTAAACAATATAAATTGTTTACTTTGCTTTCTCTTTTTATTTTTGAGTTATCTGTATATCATATATACAGTATATGGAGACAAATTGGCCTCGAAAAACAAACTACCTAATGTCTCCGATTTGCTTCAGATTTTAAGGGTTTATAGAAGAAAATTTTAGTACTTTATGCATTTTTGCATGTTTTAAAGTATAAAGACTGGAAAATAGCGCCACTGATCGACGGCAATTTTTGAATTACCCGTCCCGACGCGTCGGGACATAAAAAAACACGACTAAAATTTATTTACATAAATTGCTGCTGAAATTGAATCTAAACTCAGTGTGTCCCCGGGTGGTGTTGACAATATAAAAATAGTAGGTAGGTATATTCTGTATTAAGTTTGATAAACTCCATTTTAGTCACTAATTTAATTTCGCAAGCTTGCTTGT